TTTTGTTTTCTGTGCCCTTTTCCCACGAAGAGAGACCGAGTTTTTTTTACCCCATTTTGTCGCGTCGGCACGCGCGGAAGGTCCGACGTATGTAACAGCCTGTACTGTCTGCACAGACAGCCCATGCTGTCTGCCAGCTTAGTTCATATTTCGCGCCACTCAGGTGCTGCCATCTATAGGCCTTGCCACTTCAGTATGCCCAGACTTGCCTCGCTCTCACACACACAGCGGCCTGGCATCAACACACAAGTACTCCCAGCTCTCTCTCGTGGGCATGGCCCTGCCCGGGCCATGGGCACAAACACACAAGCCTGTGTAACACAACGACTTATCAATAAAGTAAGAAGCCTCCGAAGAAGTTTATCATTCACACCCCGCTTACAGCCTCACCAAACAAGCGCCGTTTATACTCTCTTCCGTAAATTCTCAGTGAGATAACCCATAAAAGTCATTAGGGTCCTTGTGATATGTTATTACATTAGTACATAGCCTGTAACGCAGGAGACCACTCAGCTTACACACTGGGGGTCTGTAGTTCGATCCCCAGTACGGGTGGAAATAATGGGCATGTTTCCTTACACCTGCTGTCACTTTCCACCTAGCAGCAAGTAGGTACCTGGGTGTTAGTGGGCTGGTGTGGGTCGCATCCTGGGGACAAAATTAACCTAAGTTGCAGGGAATGCTCTAAATAACCAGGGACTTACTACATAGTATGTCACTGATGTTAACTATGGTCTGTATAAGTTGTATCATGTACCTATAGAAATAATTAATCCGTACACAGGACACAAATTTATAACGTTAGGGTCCTAACTGGTCAGTCACTAGTTATGCAGAATTACTTAATGGTCCAAATCTAGCCGAAATGTTGTTATATGTCTCATTCTCCTGTGTGTAAGTTATCTGTTTAACCTGACCATGAGAGGTCCTTCACGACTGTATCTACACACACGCCATTACGTCCATTACCTCTGTAACTTGTTCAGCTGTCAAGACTTTGGGGCCCAGTCACTGGAGCCATTATGTACCTCTGTAATGTTGAGGTACAGTCCCTGGACCCATAATGTGCCTCTGTAATGTTGAGGTACAGTCCCTGGACCCATAATGTGCCTCTGTAATGTTGAGGTACAGTCCCTGGACCCATTATGTACCTCTGTAATGTTGAGGTACAGTCACTGGATCCATTATGTACCTTTAATACTGAGCTATAGTCCCTGGACCCATTATGTACCTCTGTAACGTTTTTTACTACCGTCCACAGGATGGGTATGGGGTACGTAATGAAGATATTAAACTAACTTAGGACTGAACAAGCCACTAACGGCGAAATGTTTTCTGTAATAAACGTCGTGACCTATATATAATTTTTTCCCAGAACAGATCATTAGAGATGGGGCACTGACCTGGGTATGGGACTGGGCACAAGCGACACATAGCAGGGTATGGCACTGGTGGCATCGGGCAGCAGGGTCACTATTACGGCAGTCTGCGCAGGGGGCCGGGGTGGCACCCCCGTCCATGGCTTCCATCACACCGCGTACCCAGGTGTTACTCTGGAGACCTGGAACCTGGAAGATGGTCATTAGTACGACTTACGAAATCGTAATAACACGACTGAACTAGGCTGTGAGTTTTAGAACTCTGTCATGGGTTAAAAGAGTCCTGATCTACCGGGAGGCCTAGTCAGGCACCGGGCCAGGGGGCACTGACCCCTCGGAGCACCTTCCAGGTTGGTTCAAACCTCACCCGTTCTGTGATCTGGTTGTTAGAATCTCAACTAGCAGCATCTGTACGGCTAATATTACTAGCACAAGCATTAATCTATCAAGTGGGCATAGCAACGGTGGCAGTGTGTTACTCACCCCGTCCTTAGGAAGGATGGACTGCTGTCGACACACAGGGCAGGTGAGGGTGAGTGACTCTGCTGGTGTGTACGTAATAAGACACTTCTCACAGAATGTGTGTAGACACGGCAACACCTGAAACATACGCACACATGATCACTTGTTTCTCACACCACTACACCCACAACACTCACCCACATCATTATATCCACACCCTGTATATCCATACCACACACACACATACACACACACACACACCCCAAGCCATTCATCCCCAATGACTACAGTGTTCCTGGTACAGTTATACTAATACTCACGCTGTATGACCCTTAAGAGTTTGGCGATTTCTTTTTGCATACAGCACCAATGCAAAAAACCAGTTAGCTAAAATTTCGGTTTTTCTTACACCTAGACTACCACGTTTTAGAGCAAATAAATATTATCGTCTTGTACAAGTGAACAAAAGCCTGTCAAACATTTTGCACTCTGGCAAGATTGCTGGTACAAAAAATACTTGCCTTTACAAGCAATATTTTCCCCGTGTTACGTAATGTATCGTACTTTCGTAATCTTTTTTTTCTAATTTAAGAGTGGTGGTCCGTGGCCAGGCTTGAGGTCAGGCTGGAGAGCAGGTCTGAGGCCTAATCACGGTACTGACAATGTCCACCAGAGAGCAGGTCTGAGGCCTAATCACGGTACTGACAATGGTCCACCAGAGAGCAGGTCTGAGGCCTAATCACGATACTGAGAATGATCCATCAGAGAGCAGTCTGAGGCCTAATCACGGTACTGATCCATCAGAGAGCAGTCTGGGGCCTAATCACGATACTGAGAATGATCCATCAGAGAGCAGGTCTGAGGCCTAATCACGGTACTGATCCATCAGAGAGCAGGTCTGAGGCCTAATCACGGTACTGATCCATCAGAGAGCAGGTCTGAGGCCTAATCACGGTACTGATCCATCAGAGAGCAGGTCTGAGGCCTAATCACGGTACTGATCCATCAGAGAGCAGGTCTGAGGCCTAATCACGTACTGACAATGTCCACCAGAGAGCAGGAAGATCCATACTGACACATACAAGGCAGTGATGCTGGAGGTCACCTTATATACCGTGAAGGTAGTCGAGTGTGAGGTCAGGTCATAGTTCCTTATAACACTATAAAGATAAACTACTACTACTATATTACGTCCTACTACTACGACTACTAGTATTACGTCCGCTAATACTACCTCTACTATTAATACGTCTATTTCTACTACCTCTGCTACTATTAATATTACGTATACTTCCATACTATCATTACTACTACTACTACTATTAATACTGCATCTACTTCTACTATTACCACTACTGCTACTACCGCAAAAAGCACTAAACCCGTATGCTGCAAACTCGATCATCCATCTAATCTCGAAGCAAATTATCGTATTTTCCGGCATATAAGGCGCACCTTTTTTCCCCGTCTTGGAAAATTATCATGCGTCTTATACGCTCAAGGTCAATGTCAAGTGTAGGTTCTGGGTTACGCTTTAGCACTTGTTTACTAACGTTACGTTACATGCGCCTTATATGCCGGAAAATACTGTAATCTGACAGCCAGATTTCCTGCATCGAAAAAATCCATGATATGAGTGAAAGTAACTTCCACTCTCTCCTTCCTACTTTTAAAGACTGGAGGTAAGTGTAGTTTGATAATAAGATTGGGTGTCCCGTAGCTGGGTTGGTAGCGCACTCAGCTCTCACACACTGACATCCAGGGTTCGATCCCTGGTACGGCTAGATTTGTGCTACCACTCACAGGATGCGCTGCGGGTACATAAACTATTCTGACCTCTGTAGTCCTGTGTTCTGCGCTACCACTCACAGCATGCGCTGCGGGTACATAAACTATTCTGACCTCTGTAGTCCTGTGTTCTGCGCTACCACTCACAGCATGCGCTGAGGGTACATAAACTATTCTGACCTCTGTAGTCCTGTGTTCTGCGCTACCACTCACAGCATGCGCTGCGGGTACACAGTAAACTATAGCAGCACAAGTAAACTTGTAAACGCTACTTTGTAAGAGGCTATTAAGACTCCAGCGGTACTTGCGTTCAGTGATCCACAGGGGTTTAGCCCATCATAAAAATACCACATCTGGAGCTAGATCACAACTTAGACGTCAAGCTGGGACCCAAAGATGCAACACAACCCTGATGAGGCGGTAGTATAGGTGGTGGCGTTGAAGGTGGCAGTAACCAGTGTCAGTGAGTACTTGGTGTAGTGTACAAAAGTACTACCATTACTACTATTACTACTATTACTACTATGACTACTCACATACAATTAGGCGAGTACTCACAGGCAGTCACCACCAACACACACACACACACACGTTCCGATACCTTAGTAAGGAATCGTTCAAGACACTGGACACTGTGTACGTCAGGCCCATACTGGAGTATGCAGCACCTGTTTGGAACCCACACTTGATCAAGCACTTCAAGAAATTACAGAAAGTATAAAAGTTTGCAACAAGGCTAGTTCCGGAGCTCAGGGGAATGTCCTACGAAGAAAGGTCGAGGGAAATCGGACTGACGACACTGGAGGACAGAAGGGTCAGGGGAGACATGATAACGACATACAAAATACTGCGTGGAATAGATAAGGTGGACAGAGACAGGTTGTTCCAGAGATGGGACACAGAAACAAGGGGTCATAATTGGAAGCTGAAGACTCAGACGAGTCACAGGGATGTTAGGAAGTAAATTTTTTAGTCAGAGTTGTTAGGAAGTGGAATAGCCTAGCAAGTGATGTAGTGGAGGTAGGAACAATACATAGCTTTAAGACGAGGTATGACAAAGCTCAGGAAGCAGAGAGAGAGAGAGGACGTAGTAGCGATCAGTGAAGAGGTGGAGCCAGGAGCTGAGTATCGACCCCTGCAACCACAATTAGGCGAGTACACACGGGTAGTACGCCGTCTCACAAGCGCGTATACGCACACACTGGAGTAACGTACAGCTTATTGCCACGTACTTGTTGGGTAACTCCCAGATGCAAGATTCACTCATTTCCCCTCTCCCATAGTAAACCCTGGCCTTCCCCTCTCCCATAGTAAACCCTGGCCTTCCCCTCTCCCATAGTAAACCCTGGCCTTCCCCTCTCCCATAGTAAACCCTGGCCTTCCCCTCTCCCATAGTAAACCCTGGCCTTCCCCTCTCCCATACTACAAACACTTCTACCCCTCCCACACAATACGTACTAGCCTCCCTGTCACACGATACACCCTCACCCACCCCTACACCCACTTTTCCTCTCCACCCCGACCAATATCCCTCACGGTCTCCACCTACTAAGCGACTTTAACGAGAATAAAATTCGCATCTCCATTACGTGTCATCCAAGAGATCGTGTTTCCATGGTAACCCAAGCCACGGGAAGCTGGGAAACAGACCATCCTGGTATCAATCCCAGTGGTGGAGGGTAGTTGCTGGGGGCTGGTAGTTAAGACTACCACAACTACCACATACTGGTGGAGGGTACTAGCTGATGGGGAGGTAGTCAAGCCTATCACAACTACCACCAAACAACCCAACCACTTAACAGGCAGTTAACATTAAATTAGCATAATGCCCTTCGTTGTGGATCCTGTTACTACAACGTCATCGTTCATTGTAAGAGATGAGGTCACACCAGTTTCCTGAAGTTGTCGCTCCACTGTATAAAACGAACTCACCCGTCGTTACCTTCCGTCGTTACATCATCAAGTCATGAAGATGCCTTGACATCACCAGCGTAAAGATATAAGACTCGCCTGGCAGCCCAGGACGCATACCCAAACTCGGTTCATGCATTTTCAAACACACGATAACAAATATCGAAGGCGGGATGCATAGTCACATAGTGGAATGTTTGATAGTGTCACCATCTCAGTGCTGAAATCTTCCAGCTCAGCCTGACACACTGCATTACCTCGTGTATGCAACCCTTCCTCTGTGACGCAATATGACGTTAACATATCTAGTTTTGTTAATGTAGTGCAGTTCTCAACAGAATATGGCAGCAGTACACTACGGGTGTTCTCTCCTTGTATACAGAATAAGGTAGTATAGGTGTTTACACAATGCAAATATACAGAATAGGACAGAGCCACACTAATCATGTAGAACAGGGTACCAAACTACAAGCGTTCTAACACTGTCATGTAGAACAGGGTACCACACTATAAGCGTTCTAACACTGTCATGTAGAACAGGGTACCACACTATAAGCGTTCTAACACTGTCATGTAGAACAGGTACCACACTACAAGCGTTCTAACACTGTCATTAAACAGGGTACCACACTATAAGCGTTCTAACACTGTCATGTAGAACAGGTACCACACAACAAACGTTCTAACACTGTCATGTAGAACAGGGTACCACACTATAAGCGTTCTAACACTGTCATGTAGAACAGGGTACCACACTACAAGCGTTTCTAACACTGTCATGTAGAACAGGTACCACACAAACAAGCGTTCTAACACTGTCATGTAGAACAGGTACCACACTACAAGCGTTCTAACACTGTCATGTAGAACAGGGTACCACACAACAAACGTTCTAACACTGTCATGTAGAACAGGGTACCACACTACAAGCTTTTCTAACACTGTCATGTAGAACAGGTACCACACTACAAGCGTTCTAACACTGTCATGTAGAACAGGGTACCACACTACAAGCGTTCTAACACTGTCATGTAGAACAGGGTACCACACAAACGTTCTAACACTGTCATGTAGAACGGGGTACCACACTACAACGTTCTAACACTGTCATGTAGAACAGGGTACCACACTACAAGCGTTCTAACACTGTCATGTAAAACAGGGTACCACACTACAAGCATTCTAACACGTCATGTAGAACAGGGTACCACACAACAAGCGTTCTAACACTGTCATGTAAACAGGGTACCATACTACAAGTGTTCTCATACTCAGAGAACGAGGTATCACACTACGTGTTCCCACACAAATCATACAGAACAAGGTGTTCCCACACTATCATACACAACGGTATACATACACTGAGTGTATCCAAACCTTTTAATAACAAAAGCAGTCCTTACAAGCATTAATAATCAGCTTTGGACACTTAACCCACACGCTTTAAAATCGCCACCACTGGCACCAGAGGAGCGACCTCTGGCTAGCACTGTCTCTCTCAGGCACTGAAAGTTAGCCTGGTGCCTGCCCAGGGCCACTGTTAGGGGGTCACACCACATAATCATTCAAAAGATCACGTTACTAGTGAAGATATTATGATACCAGTAGAGATAAGCGAATAAATATTAGCCACAACGTAGTTCTGGTAGGGGTCAGATATTAGTATCAAGGAGATGTGTGTGCCTGCAGGGAGTGACTTAGCAAGTGCCTGCAGGCAGTGACTTAGCAAGTGCCTGCAGGGAGTGACTTAGCAAGTTCCTGCAGCAGTGACTTAGCAAGAATCCCTGCAGGCAGTGACTTAGCCAAGAGTGCCTGCAGGCAGTGACTTAGCAAGTGCCTGCAAGCAGTGACTTAGCAAGTGCCTGCAGGCAGTGACTTAGCAAGAGTGCCTGCAGCAGTGACTTAGCAAGTGCCTGCAGGCAGTGACTTAGCAAGTTCCTGCAGGCAGTGACTTAGCAAGTGCCTGCAGCAGTGACTTAGCAAGTGCCTGCAGGCAGTGACTTAGCAAGTGCCTGCAGGCAGTGACTTAGCAAGTGCCTGCAGGCAGTGACTTAGCAAGTTCCTGCAGGCAGTGACTTAGCAAGAATGCCTGCAGGCAGTGACTTAGCAAGAGTGCCTGCAGGCAGTGACTTAGCAAGAGTGCCTGCAGGCAGTGACTTAGCAAGTGCCTGCAGGCAGTGACTTAGCAAGTGCCTGCAGGCAGTGACTTAGCAAGTGCCTGCAGGCAGTGACTTAGCAAGAGTGCCTGCAGGCACTGACGGAATGAGTGCCTGTATGCAGCGGCAGAGTACATGGTGTTCTTGCAGGACTTCTCTGATCCCCTAATCATATCCAATTTACTGATAAAAAAAACTGTCAGGGTATATAGTACGACTTGCTAGAGCGGTCAGCCATCACCAGTATGTTCAGTGAACATTATAGAAAGACATCAGGAACCAAGATTACAATTATATCCATTAATTTTTAAAGAGGTGCAAGGGTTAGCCAGTGGAAGGCCTCGGTCAAATGACCAAAAGCTCCAGCTGTGGGTCATCATATGACTAAGTCAGGAAACACTGTTTCCTGACGAATATTACCTAACCATCATGTTCAGAAACTGTATTTATCTATCATGTTTCGCTCTATACAAGGGATACATGACTACCGGGCTGACAAGATAACGAGGTATACAGCGAAAGTTGCTTTTAATAAAGAATCTGATCTGTACAATGTTTCTGTCACACATGTGGGCAAGCAAGACTTGCTCGCATGTAGTACGGTTACACACTCCGTCTTCAGCAAGTGATTCCATTAACGAACTAAGACAATGATTGGTCCAAGTGTGTGTGTGTGTGTGTGTGTGTGTGTGTGTGTGTGTGTGTGTGTGTGTGTGTGTGTGTGTGTGTGTGTGTGCACTCTACCTTCCCTCCTACCCAAACCCTCGCTAACCCACCTCCACTAAGCCCTTCACTCGGAGAGAAACACAATACTCGAGGCGCAACACTCTCGTTGACTTCACCTCGAACAGAAGCAAGAAACACTTGAGCCAATACAAAATAAGTCTCGTCACCACCTGTAACACAGGTCGTCTCGTTTGAGTAATGCGGCCCACCAACCCTGGCTACATTATTACTATCAAAACTTAGCGGTAAACCCACAGGAGTCGCATCCAGTCCTGCCTATGAGTGTAAATGTGACTTTAATGCCGCTTATCCCCCCCCCCGACTTAAAAATTCAAATTTATAGTCTATAATCATTTTCTCACACAACTTTGCAGCTCTATACACAAATAACCCGCACATAAAACAGAAGCTTACGACGACGTTTCGGTCCGACTTGGACCATTGACAAAGTCACACTAACAGAGGTGGAGCAGGACGGCTATATATAGGCAGGAAGAGGTGGAGGTAGTAGTAGTGGTAGTAGTAGTAGTAGTAGTAGTACAAGAATTGTATATAATACCGACAGGATGAAATGACACATGCACAACACCCGGGCATCCCACCGTAGACTTTTTCGCCTATATATAGCCGTCCTGCTCCACCTCTGTTAGTGTGACTTTGTCAATGGTCCCAAGTCGGACCGAAACGTCGTCGTAAGCTTCTCTCTTTTATGTGCGGGTTATTTGTGTATCGTTCCAGTCACGGTATTGTGCCTTTTTGTTATTTATTTGCAGCTCTATATTTAAATCATAATTATTATTTAAGGTACTGGCGGTATCCCACCGAGGTAGGGTGACCTAACAGAAAAACTGAAACTCCTCCTTTTAAATTTAGAAACATATACAGGACAAGGGGGTTACTAGCCTCTTGCTCCCGGCATTTTAGTCGCCTCTTACGACACGCATGGATTACGGAGGAAGGATTCTTCTCCACTTCCCCATGGAAACTATATTACTAACGTCATTATTATTCAGAGTAAAGAGTGTTGGATGCTGATACAATGGCACCACAGACCCCGACAAACACTCACCATCACTACTACCATCACTACTCACTACCATCACTACTCACACCTTCCTTAGTTTCAGCACAGCTCCACGTTAGTACAATTACCATACATAGTAATATGTGCTCAATAAGAACCCACGAATGAAGAGGATCCCAGAAGGGGATCGAAACACACAGATTAATTAATCTTGTCTGTCCCCATGCACGTTATTACTGAGTATTGACAAATGATCATTATACTTTAGTTACCCATCGTAACTTGTCTAAGTTACGCACGATACCCTAAAAAACGTCAAAGTTACTTAAATTTTATTGGGGTCTTTGTAATATGTAGACTAATGTCTACTGTAAGATACAGTAGACATCAGCCATGATTATAACCTTAAAGATAAATAGCTAAGTAACTCAACTGTGCAAAAATAATAATAATAATAATAATAATAATAATAATAATAATAATAATAATAATAATAATAATAAATTCTTACCTTGGGGTTGGAGTAGCGACGTGTACAAATACCACAATGCAGTAGCTGTGAGTCTGACGCAGGGGACCTAGAGCTGGAGCCCCCTGTCAGGGAGGCTGTATGAGTGGGGTGCACGGGGCAGGTGCTAGACGGGGCAGCAGGTGTGCGGGGCAGTGGGGTGGTAGGCACGGAGGCAGGAGGGACGCTGTAAGTACCTGAAGACAGGCGATCCTCCTCAGCCTCGACTTCGGCTGTTTGTGAGTCCCCCTGAAGCAGAGTGGACGTCAGGTTAGTGGTACATCACACCTGCTGTGATAGTGGACCACTACACCTGCTGTGATAGTGGACCACTACACCTGCTGTGATAGTGGACCACTACACCTGCTGTGATAGTGGACCACTACACCTCCTGTGATAGTGAACCACTACACCTGCTGTGATAGTGGACCACTACACCTGCTGTGATAGTGAACCACTACACCTGCTGTGATAGTGGACCACTACACCTGCTGTGATAGTGAACCACTACACCTGCTGTGATAGTGGACCACTACACCTGCTGTGATAGTGAACCACTACACCTGCTGTGATAGTGGACCACTACACCTGCTGTGATAGTGGACCACTACACCTGCTGTGATAGTGGACCACTACACCTGCTCTGATAGTGAACTACTACACCTGCTGTGATAGTGGACCACTACACCTGCTGTGATAGTGGACCACTACACCTGCTGTGATAGTGGACCACTACACCTGCTGTGATAGTGAACCACTACACCTGCTGTGATAGTGAACCACTACACCTGCTGTGATAGTGGACCACTACACCTGCTGTGATAGTGGACCACTACACCTGCTGTGACAGTGAACTACTACACCTGCTGTGATAGTGAGCTACTACACCTGCTGTGACAGTGAACCACTACACCTGCTGTGATAGTGGACCACTACACCTGCTGTGATAGTGGACTACTACACCTGCTGTGATAGTGGATCACTACACCTGCTGTACTCACCTATTTGTACTCACCTATTTGTGGTTGCAGGGGTCGAGTCACAGCTCCTGGCCCCGCCTCTTCGCTGATTGCTACTAGGTCCTCTCTCTCCCTGCCCCATGAGCTCTATCATACCTCGCCTTAAAACTATGTATGGTTCCTGCCTCCACCACATCACTTTCTAGGCTATTCCATGGCCTGACTACTCTATGACTGAAGAAATACTTCCTAACATCCCTTTGATTCATCTGAGTCTTCAACTTCCAATTGTGACCTCTTGTGTCTGTGTCCCATCTCTGGAACATCCCGTCTTTGTCCACCTCGTCTATTCCGCGCAGTATTTTATATGTCGTTATCAATGTCTTTCCCCCGACCCTCCTGGCCTCCAGTGTCGTCAGGCCGATTTCCCTCAACCTTTCTTCATAGGACAATCCCCGTAGCTCTGGGACTAGTCTTGTTGCAAACCTTTGCACTTTCTCTAATTTCTTGACGTGCTTGACTAGGTGTGGATTCCAAACTGGTGCTGCATACTCCAGTATGGGCCTGACGTAGATGGTGTACAGAGTCTTAAACGAATCATACTGAGGTATCGGAACGCTATCCGTAGGTTTGCCAGGCGCCCGTATGCTGCAGCAGTTATCTGATTGATGTGCGCCTCAGGAGATATGCTCGGTGTTATACTCACCCCCAGATCTTTTTCCTTTAGTGAGGTTTGCAGTCTTGGCCATCTAAACTATATTGTGTCTGCGGTCTTCTTTGCCCTTCCCCAATCTTCATGACTTTGCATTTGGCAGGGTTAAATTCTAGGAGCCAGTTGCTGGACCAGGCTTGTAGCCTGTCCAGATCTCTTTGTAGTCCTGCCTGATCCTCGTCCGATTCGATTCTTCTCATTAACTTCACATCGTCTGCAAACAAGGACACTTCTGAGTCTATCCCTTCCGTTATGTCGTTCACGTATACCAAGAACAGCACAGGTCCTAGGACTGACCCCTGGTGGAACCCCGCTTGTCACAGGCGCCCACTCTGAACACCTCGTCGCGTACCATGACTCGTTGTTTCCTCCCTGTCAGTATTCTCTGATCCATTGCAGTGCCTTTCCTGTTATGGTGCCTGGTCCTCTAGCTTTTGCAGTAACCTCTTTGGGGAGAACTGTGTCGAAAGCCTTCTTGCAGTCCAAAAATACGCAGTCGATCCACCCCTCTCTCTCTTGTCTTACTTCTGTCACCTTGTCATAAACTCTAGTAGGTTTGTGACACAGGATTTTCCTTCCCTGAAAACCGTGCTGGTTGTCAATTATACACTTGTTTCTTTCCAGGTGCCCCACCACTCTCCCCCTGATGATCTTCTCCATGCCCTTTGCATACTATACACGTTAGAGATACAGGTCTGTAGTTTAGTGCCTCATGTCTGTCTCCCTTTTTAAAATTGGGACTACATTTGGCATTTTCCATACCTCAGGGAGTTGCCCAGTTTCAAATGATTGTTGAAGATCTTTGTTAATGGCTCACACAATATCTCTGCTCCCTCTTTAAGGACCCATGGAGAGATGTTGTCTGGTCCCACCGCCTTTGAGGTGTCAAGTTCGCATAGCACTCTTCACCTCCTCCTTGGTTATATGTACCTCATCCAGCACTTGCTGGTTGTGCCCCCCTGTTCTGATTTCTTGGAGTCCCTACTGGTTTCCACTGTAAATACCTCTTTAAATCTTGTTTTGAGCTCCTGACATACCTCTCGGTCGTTTCTTGTGAATTCCCCATCCCCCTTCCTCATCTGATTACCTGGTCCTTGACTGTTTTTTCCTCCTGATGGGGCTGTACAACAGCTTCGGGTCAGTCTTTACTTTTGAGGCTATGTCATTTTCATATGTCTCTGAGCCTCCCTTCTATCTGGCTTTAATTCGTTTCTGGCTCTTCGGCTGATTTCTTTATTTTCCCTGAGTTCTCTGTCTTCTGTACCTTTTCCATTCTCTATTACACCTAGTTTTTTGCCTCCCTACACCTTTGGTAAATCCAAGGACTCGTTCTTTTTCTTCCCATTATTTCTGTTTCCTTGGGAACAAACCTCTCCTCTGCCTCCTTGCATTTTGTTGCTACATAGTCCATCATTTCTTGTACTGGTTTTCCTGTCAGTTCCCTCTCCCACTGAATGTCTTGAAGGGAAGTTCCTCATGCCTGAGTATTTCCCCCCTTTTGTAGTTTGGTTTTTCCCACCTATTCCTGCTACTCTCTCCACTTGGAGCTCAACTATGTAGTCGAAGCACAGAACCACATGATCACTAGCCCCCGGGGGCCTTTCATACATGATACCCTCGATGTCCGAACTACTCATGGTGAATACAAGGTCCAACCTTGCTGTTCATCCTCTCCTCTCCTCTGGTAGTGTCTCTAACATGTTGATGCATGAGGTTCTCCAGTACCAAAAATCCATCATCTTGGCTCTCCATGTTGGGGACCCCCATGGGCTCCAGGTTTTCCCAGTCAATCTCCTTGTGATTGAAATCACCCATAACTATTTAACTTTGCTCCCCCCATGTGTGCTCTCCTGGCCACCTCGGCTAGTGTGTTGATCATTGCTCTGTTTGCTCTCATCGTATTCTTCTCTTGGCCTCCTCAGTTCTGTGGTGGGTTGTACATTACTGCAATTATCCCCTTATGTCCCTCAACTGGATTGTTCCTACTAAGTAGTCCCTTTCGCCCATGCCATCCATTCCTTCCATTTTCTCAAAACCCCACGGGTTTTTTTAATGACAGTGCAACTCCTCCTCCCCCTCTCCTCCCTCTGTTTTCCGAAGATTGATATCCGGATGGAAAGTTTGAATCTGTTATTATTCTGGTGAGTTTTGTTTCTGTGAGTGCAAATTATGTCTGGGATGTCTCTTTGATTCTTTCAGCCACTCCTCATACTTGTTTGTTTTTTCCATCTGCATTTGTATACACACCTTCAACTTTTTTTCTAAGATGTAGTCTGGAAGTTTTTTTTGGGGGTTGGGGGAAAGGTGGGAGACCTGGTAAGGAACTATGGGTTTTTGCTGTGGGGTGAAGTTTGTAATGTAGTGGGTGGGGGCATTGGATGTGGCATGGGTGTTTTGATTTAGAGTGTTTGGTTTTGCACTGGGGTTGACCTGGTTGGGAGGCTTCTATAGAAAGTTGTGAGGGAGGCTGTATTAGATTTTCTTCCTGGGTCTGGGATCTCCTGTCTGTCTTCTCCACCCCCTCTCTTTCCTCCTTTCGCCTTTGTACCATCTCTCTCAGTTTCTCCTTTCTTCTTGTGTTCTGTCGCGGTCGAGATACACCCTCCTGTATGCCGTCATGTCCCTTAATCGTGCTTTCTCCTCAGATCCTGGTCCGAGTTGCTTCTGCCTTAAAGGTCACTCTCACTGGCCGGTTTTTTTTTTACAAACCCCCCCTTCTCCCGAAAATTTTCCAGCTGGGTCATATCGTCTTCTCCTATTGCTTTCATGATGTTTTCAATTGCTTTTTTCCCCTTGTTTTTTGCTTCAATGTTTCCCCTTCGACTTCCTGGAGCCCATACACAAAGACTGACCTCACCCTTTCATTCTCCCACTGCATATCCCTGTGTATCCCCTCATTTAATTTGGTTTCCTCCACTGCAGCTTTCCTTTCATCAGTTTCACTGGCTAATGTTACTTGGGCTCGTGGCCTGTCATTTCCCTTCTCGGCTTTCCTTGGGCTCTGTTGTTGTCTGTTAGGGCCTCCACATAAAGCTTAGCTCTTTCATTTGCTACAGTCTCCTCTGATAGAGCATCTCCATGCAGTTGTGCCCCTTCTTTCCCTACAGTCCCCTTATTTGTGGCTGAGGTAGCAGTCTCTGATGTCAATCCCAAAATGTTCTTTAGTTCTTTTGCTGTTTCAGATTTTTCAGTTCCTCTTCTAAACTCTGTATCCTAGCTTCTGCTGTTTTGACATGCACCTCCCACTTCCTGCTTTCCATATCTATCCTCTCTTCCATTCTCATGCTAAGTTCTTCTAGTTTCTTTTCCCATTCATGATCCCTTTGTGATAGTGGATCACTACACCTGCTGTGATAGTGGACCACTACACCTGCTGTGATAGTGGACCACTACACCTGCTGTGATAGTGGACCACTACACCTGCTGTGATAGTGGACCACTACACCTGCTGTGATAGTGGGCCACTACACCTTGCTGTGATAGTGAACTACTACAAACCCGCTGTGATTGTACCACTACACCTGCTTGATAGTGGACCACTACACCTGCTGTGATAGTGGACCACTACACCTGCTGTGATAGTGGATCACTACACCTGCTGTGATAGTGGACCACAAAACCTGCTGTGATAGTGGACCACTACACCTCCTGTGATAGTGGACCACTACACCTGCTGTGATAGTGGATCACTACCACCTGCTGTGATAGTTGGACCACTACACCCTGCGTGATAGTGGACCACTACACCTGCTGTGATAGTGGACCACTACACCTGCTGTGATAGTGAACTACTACACCTGCTGTGATAGTGGACCACTACACCTGCTGTGATAGTGGACTACTACACCTGCTGTGATAGTGGACCACTACACTGCTGTGATAGTGGACCACTACACCTGCCCGTGATAGGGAACCACTACACTTGCTGTGATTTGTGGACTACTACACCTGCTGTGATAGTGGAAACCCCTACACCTGCTGTGATAGTGAACTAAATACACCGCTGTGATAGTGGACCCCTACACCTGCTGTGATAGTGGACTACTACACCTGCTGTGATAGTGGACCACTACACCTGCTGTGATAGTGAACTACTACACCTGCTGTGATAGTGGACCACTACACCTGCTGTGATAGTGGACTACTACACCTGCTGTGATAGTGAACCACTACACCTGCTGTGATAGTGGACCACTACACCTGCTGTGATAGTGGACTACTACACCCCGCTCTGATAGTGAACTACTACACCTGCTGTGATAGTGGACCACTACACCTGCTGTGATAGTGGACCACTACACCTGCGTGAAGTGGACCACTACACCTTCTGTGATAGTGGACACACACCCGTTCTGATAGGAACTACTACACCTGCTGTGATAGTGGGCCACTACACCTGCTGTGATAGTGACACACTACACCTGCTGTGATAGTGGACCACTACACCTGCTGTGACAGTGAACTACTACACCTGCTGTGATAGTGAGCTACTACACCCTGCGTGACATGAACTACTACACCTGCTGTGATAGTGGACCACTACACCTGCTGTGATAGTTGACTACTACACCTGCTGTGATAGTGGGCACTACACCTGCTGTGATAGTGGATCACTACACCTGCTGTGATAGTGGACCACTACACCTGGGTGTGATAGTGGACCACTACACCTGCTGTGATAGTGGACCACTACACCTGCTGTGATAGTGGACCACTACACCTGCTGTGATAGTGGACCACTACACCTGCTGTGATAGTGGACCACTACACCTGCTGTGATAGTGGACCACTACACCTGCTGTGATAGTTGGACCACTACACCTGCTGTGATAGTGGACCACTACACCTGCTGTGATTTGTGAACTACTACACCTGCTGTGATAGTGGACCCCCTACACCTGCTTTTGATAGTGGACCACTACACCTGCTGTGATAGTGGACCACTACACCTGCTTGTGATAGTGGATCACTACACCTGCCCGTGATAGTGGACCACTACACCTGCTGTGATAGTGGACCACTACAACCTGCTGTGATAGTTTGGGCCACTACACCTGTTTGATAGTGGACCACTACACCTGCTGTGATAGTGGACCACTACACCTGCTGTGATAGTGGATCACTACACCTGCTGTGATAGTGGACCACTACACCTGCTGTGATAGTGGACCACTACACCTGCTGTGATAGTGGACCACTACACCTGCTGTGATAAATGAACTACTACACCTTTCTGGATAGTGGACCACTACACCTGCTGTGATAGTGGACTACTACACCTGCTGTGATAGTGGAAAACTACACCTTTCTGTGATAGTGGACCACTACACCTGCTGTGATAGTGGACCCCCTACACTACTGTGATAGTGAACCACCCACACCTGTGTTTATAGTGGACCACTAAAACCTGCTGAGATAGTGGACTACTACACCTGCTGTGATAGTGGACCACTACACCTGCTGTGATAGTGGGCTACTATACCGCTGTGATAGTGGACACTACAACCTGCTGTGATAGTGGACTACTACACCTGCTGTGATAGTGGACTACTATACCTGCTGTGATAGTGGACTACTATACCTGCTGTGATAGTGGACTACTACACCTGCTGTGATAGTGGACCACTACACCTGCTGTGATAGTGGGCTACTACACCTGCTGTGATAGTGAAAATACTACACCTGCCCGTGATAGTGGACTACTATACCTGCTGTGATAGTGGACTACTTAAACCTGCTGTGATTTGTGGACCACTACACCTGCTGTGATAGTGGACTACTATACCTGCTGTGATAGTGGGACCACTATACTGCTGTGATAGTGGCTACTACACCTGCTGTGATATGGGGGTACTACACCTGCTTTTGATATGGCTAATATTTGTGGATAGTGTACTACTATACCTGCGTGATAGTGGACCACTACACTGCTGTACAGTGACTACTACACCTGCTGTGACAGTGAACTACTACACCTCGTGATAGTGGACCACTACACCTGCTGTGACAGTTGAACTACTACACCTGCTGTGACAGTGAACTAACTACACCTGCTGTGAAGTGAACATTACACCTGCTGTGACAGTGAACTACTACACCTGCTGTGACAGTGAACTACTACACCTGCTGTGATAGTGAACTACACCTGCTGTGACAGTGAACTACTACACCTGCTGTGATAGTGAACTACTACACCTGCTGTGATAGTGAAATCTACACCTCTGTGACAGTGAAAACTACACCTGCTGTGACAGTGAACTACTACACCTGCTGTGATAGTGGACCACTACACCTGCTGTGATAGTGAAAAACTACACCTGCTGTGAAGTGGACCACTACACTCTGATATGACACTACACCTGCGTAAGTGGCACTAAACCTCGTGATAGTGAACACTAAAACCTGCTGTGATAGTGGACCACTACACCTGCTGTGATAGTGGGCCACTACACCTGCTGTGATAGTGGACCACTACACCTGCTGTGGTAGTGGACCACTAACACTGCTGTGATAGTTAACTACTACACCTGCTGTGATAGTGAACTACTACACCTGCTGTGATAGTGAACCCACTACACCTGCTGTGATAGTGGACCACTACACCTCTGTGGTAGTGGACCACTACACCTGCTGTGATAGTGGACCACTACACCTGCGTGATAGTGAACTACTACACCTGCTGTGATAGTGGACCACTACAAACCGCTGTGATAGTGGACCACTACACCTGCTGTGATAGTGGACCACTACACCTGCTGTGATAGTGGACCACTACACCTGCTGTGATAGTGGAACCACTACACCTGCTGTGATAGTGGACCACTACACCTGCTGTATAGTGGACCACTACACCTGCTGTGATAGTGGACCACTACACCTGCTGTGATAGTGGACCACTTACACCTGCTTATAGTGGACCACTACACCTGCTGTGATATGGGACCACTACACCTGCTCTGATAGTGAACTACTTACACCCCGCTGTGATAGTGGACCACTACACCTGCTGGATAGTGGACCACTACACCTGCTGTGATAGTGAAATACTTACACCTGCTGTGATAGTGGACCACTACACCTGCTGTGATAGTGGACCACTACACCTGCTGTGATAGTGGACCACTACACCTGCTGTGATAGTGGACCACTACACCTGCTGTGATAGTGGACCACTACCAAACCCGCTGTGATAGTGGACCCCTACACCTGCTGTGATAGTGAACACTTTCACCTGCTGTGATAGTGGACCCCTACAAATTTCTGTGATAGTGGACCACTACACCTGCTGTGATAGTGGACCACTACACCTGCTGTGATAGTGGACCAATGAACATAAAACCTAAGTTGTTGTTTTTAAGTTGTTAATGTATTATTTTTCACAATACCAACCTTGCAAGGCTTGAGCAGTACGGTGAGTTTTGGGCTGAGGAGTGAGTAGGCGTCGTGGGCGGGGAGTGAATGGGTGTTGTGGGTGGGGAGTGAGTGGGTGTCGTAGGTGGGGAGTGAGTATGTGTCGTGGGCGGGGAGAGAGTGCGTGTTGTGGGCGGGGTGTGGCGTGTCGTGGGAAGGGTGTGGGGAGTCGTGGGCGGCGTGTGGGGTATCGTGGGCGTGGCACTGGTGTAGGTCGTCCGAAGCCTCAGTGAGGGTGTAGGTGCGGGCGCCTTCAGATCCCGGCTGGGGCGGGGGCGTGAGGGCGTCCATCGTGGGCGACCTCGCGGGCTCCTCTTGATCCTGCTGACCCGCCTGGCGCCGCGCTGCCGCTGCCAGGTGAGCCGGGTACTGCAACAAGAAAAATAATATTATAATATTACCCTAACTGTTTACACGATTTTCAAAAACACACACACACACACACACACACACACACACAACACACACACACACACACACACACACACACACACACACACACACACACACACACGCACACACACACACACAAAGGTTTGCCACAAGGTTAGTTCCAGAGCTAAGGGGAATGTCCTATGAAGAAAGATTAAGGGAAATCGGCCTGACGACACTGGAGGACAGGAGGGTCAGGGGAGACATGATAACGACATATAAAATACTGCGTGGAATAGACAAGGTGGACAAAGACAGGATGTTCCAGGGAGGGGACACAGAAACAAGAGGCCACAATTGGAAGTTGAAGACACAAATGAGTCAGAGAGATATTAGGAAGTATTTCTTCAGTCATAGAGTTGTAAGGCAGTGGAATAGCCTAGAAAATGACGTAGTGGAGGCAGGAACCATACACAGTTTTAAGACGAGGTTTGATAAAGCTCATGGAGCGGGGAGAGAGAGGGCCTAGTAGCAACCGGTGAAGAGGCGGGGCCAGGAGCTAGGACTCGACCCCTGCAACCACAAATAGGTGAGTACACACACACACACACACACACTGCAAGAAGGCGTTTGACACAGTTCCACACAAGAGATTAGTGCAAAAACTGGAGGACGAAGCAGGGATAACAGGAAAGGCACTACAATGGATCAGGGAATACCTGTCAGGAAGACAGCAGCGAGTCATGGTACGTGGCGAGGTGTCAGAGTGGGCACCTGTGACCAGCGGGTCCCGCAGGGGTCAGTCCTAGGACCAGTGCTGTTTCTGGTATTTGGGGAACGAATGAGGGAAGGAATAGCTCTGAGGTGCCCCGTTTGCAATGACGTGAAGTTGATGAGAAAAATTCATCGATCGAAGCCGGGAGAACTACAAAGGGTTTTGGACAGGCTGCGACGGTCCGCAATTGGCCCCTGGAGTTCAACCCCCCAAAAGTGCAAGATGAAGTTTTGAGAAGGGCAAAAAAGGGCCCGCAGAGGGTAAGTTAGGGGGTGAGCTCAAACCTCACTAAAAAAAAAAGATTTGGGGGGGGAACACCCCTTCCTGAAGCGCAATAACCAAAAAACGTGCGATAGGGGCCCCTAGCAACCTCAAAAACAGCATTCCGAATCTTAAAAAGGAATCATTCAGGACCCGTACACCGTGTATTTGGCCTATTGGAGTATGCGGCACCATTTGGAAACCCACCTACCCAAGCACGTAAAGGGAAAAACTAGAAAAAGTGAAAAGGTTTCCCAAAAAGATAGTCCAGGTAAGAGGTATGCCCTCGAGGAGGGGTTAGGAAAAATAAACCCTGCAAATTTGAGGACAGGAGAGATGGGGGGACATGTAACGACATTCCAAAAAAATACTGAGGGAAATTTGGGACAAGGTGGAAAAAACAGGATTTTCCCAGAGTTTGGGACCAGTAAAAGGGGGAAACCATTTGGGAAAGCTGAAGACAAGATGAACCCAAGGGATGTTGGAAAGTTTTCTTCACCCCAAGAGTAGTCAGTAAGTGGAATAGTTTGGGAAAAGTTGTAGTGGGGGCAGGATCCTAATGTTTTAAGCAGGGGTATGATAAATTTCAGGCTCAGGGAGGTGCCCTGTAGCGATCAGTGAAGAGGGGGGGCCCGGGCTGGGACTCGCCCCCCGAAACCCTCAACTAGGTGAGTACAATGGTGATACAAAAACTCTCACAGAAAAAAAAATTATTTAATTTTCCCCACTAAAAATCTCGAAAGAAAATGGAATAAATAAGAAAACGAAATATGTGGTAAACAAAATTAAAAATGTTATTTTTCTCAACAAGTGCTTTAATTTATACTTTTTTAATAATAAAACAGGAAATTTTACGAGCAGTGGTACAAACTGAAGACTTTAATAATAAAAAAGGTTTCCCATTAAGTAAAGAGGAAAGGCAAAGTAGTCAGTGTTAAGGTTTAGTAATTGAAAACGGGACAACTATTGTTTAATGTGTTTAATGACACACACAAGACTGAAAAAAACGGGAAAAAGTGAAGAAAAAATAAAAGGAAAAAGAAGAAAAGATTTTCGTCAAGTTCAGAAAGATAAAAATTTTTTTTTGGTAAAAAGACGGGGACAAAGAAGTCTGTCTCTTCTCTGTCTCACAGGATCCACACACGTTTAAAAAGGGTACTATAAAGCTTTGGAAAGGGGTAGCCTGTGCGACCAATGAAGGGGCGGGCCAGGGCTTGATCCCCCTGCAACAAAATTTTGGTGAGTACAACACACAAAACCCCATATACAAAAATAATTGTAAATAAATTTTTGAAGCTGATGTGCCCGGGAGGACGAAGGGTTGCACCATATCAACAAAAACCCGCTCCCGCTGTGCCCTCCCTTGATAAATCACCTAAAGATATTAAATATCGCTCCCTGCGCACGGCCCCGGTGTGTCTGCAAGTTGTCCTTCGTGTATCTGTGTCCCCCTCTCCCCTCATTTCCCCTTCCCCTTAAACCCCCCCAACTCCCTGTGTGAGATTTATTCGTTTAAGTCCCCTAAGGAAGGTTCCTTGATGCTGGTGGGGGGTCTTGATTGGGAATTGGGGTATTGCCCCAGTTCCTGAATTAAGCCTGAACCCCCTTCACTCCCCCTTGATGTAGCCCGCTGGGTTGTGGCCCAGCGGGGGACTCAAACCCCCCCCCATAGGCGCTGTTAATCCTGGGGTTTTAGCGCTTCCTTAATAAAAATTTTACCTAAGTCAACCAATTTCCGTGGAGATTAAAAGGGCCCCAATTTAACTATAATGCTCGTCGCCTTTAAAAAAAGTTGTGGTAAAGGCGGGGGCCCCAAAATTGTCCGATCCTTAACAGATCAAACACGCCCAACGAAGTGTTGATAAAATCAAAACGGTTGGGGTTTACCTATACATAATGACAGGGTTAAAAAAAATTTTTTAATTTATTTTCGGTGATTTTGGCCCCTGAAAATCAAAAGAGGTTTGATTCGGGCGGTGGGGTAGTGAGCCTTTTCAAAATCTCTCTAATCCGTCAAAGAGTTCCAAGGAAATAAGTCACTTGATTTTTTTTTTTGGGTTTTTTGGGTTTAAAATTTCACCCCCCAAAAGGTTCCTTGGTTGGTGAGGGGCTTTGATTTGGGGGAATTGGATTTGGCCCCCCTTTTCCAAATTAACCCTGATCCCTTTCCACATCCCCCCCCCGGGGCCGTTTAATTTCCGGGTTTAGCGTTTCCCCCTGTTAAAAATAAAATTTTGGTTAATTCCACTTTTTGAAAAATTTTACTCGGTGTGTTGAAAAATATTGTTCCACGTCTCCCCCCGCAGCTCACCCGTCTTCCCCTATGTATTCCTCCCTTTTTTTTCCCTAATCCTTTTACAATCTATCCCCCTTTTCCTTCTCCCCCATCCCATTCCTTCCTTCCCCTCCCCCTCTCCTTCCTTCTCCCACCCCACTCCCCTTCCTTTCCCCATCCCACTCCCCTTCCTTTCCCCATCCCCATCCTTCCTTTTTTCCCACCCCATCTCTTCCTTCTCCCCACCCTACTCTCCTTCCCTCCTCCCTCCCTCCACTCTTCACCTACTTCCCTCCTCTTTACCTCCCTGGGCCCCCTTTCCTTTCCCCCCACGCAGGGGCAAAAAACATTTACTATTTTTAAAACACCTGACGAGGCCATTACTAAAATTTTTTTCCCAAAGGACGCGTGAAGATACAAAAAATTTTTTACCCCAGCAGCCAGACAAAATGTCAGCGACCGCCACAATGTCCAGCAGCCCGCACCAATGTCCAGCAGCCCAGCACACAATGTCCCCCCTTTGTTTTTTGCTAGATCGTTTAGGCTAGGCTTTATGTGGCAGGTTGGTTGTAGCCTCCAAGAGGGAAAAAGTGTAAACAGTGTGGGAGCGGATAAATCTCTCTTTCCAGTTTTACTTTGTTGCAAAATCTAAAGAATATGAAAGACCCCAATAAATCACTTTTTGGGGGGTTTTAAAAGGTATTTTTAGTTTAAATGTTTTTTATGCCCCCCTCCCCATCCTGGGGGTAGTCAAAATATTACAGAGGTTATAATGCGCCTGGGGACGGGGCCAAAAACCTAGTGACGCAATGCAAGTATTTATGAGGACGTCAGGGAACAGAAACCAGGTAGCTGACTCAGCCTTCCTCATAATCTTGCGTTTCTGTGAGGAGGGTTCAAATCACGTGTGTGTACCCCGGTTTTTAATTTGTTGTCGTCTGAGGACCACCAGTCCACCCATTCCCAAAGAAAAATATCGATGGTTGGGCCCATGAGTTAGTTAGGGAAGTTGTTACGGGGTGGATTGATAGTTCGACCCCTCCCCATTCTTCAGGTGCCCCAACATGAAGGGAAGTGTGTTAAAGATTGCAGTCTCGCACTGCCATTCATTCCGGTGCCTTAAAGCCCCGGGCCCGGGGGGAAGGGAAGTAGAGCTAACCCATGGAGTGGGGAAGGGAAAGGTGCAGGAGAAATGGGGTGGGCACTTGGGCGGCCTTGTATGGTAGAGTCTTTAATTTCTGCCCAGGAAAGCCCCCCCTCTGTACTACATGGCGGGGACTCAAACTAAAAATATATCGCAACACACTTACGGGGTTTGTGTTTTTAGAGGTACATTTTATATCACTACATTTCCTTTTATCTACACTAATTCCCTAAAGTTTCCCTTTTTCCCACCGTTCTTCTCTGTATTGGATAAAAGTCATGGTGGCGAAACTTTTCGGCTTTCAAAATTTATTTACCCTATCCAGCCGACCCGCGGGGGGCCTGACCCCAAAACCTTTCCCCAGGAAACTAAGTACGCTCGAATTAGCCAAATTTTTAACTCCATTTTTTTAAATACAAAAGTATAAATTTACGAATGCTTTTTTCTTTATTTATGGGTTCCATGACGCAAACTTGTATTAAAAAAAAATCCACCCAACAAACAATTATAAAAAAGACTGAGCCGTTGGGAAGCGTAGTTCCCAAATGTAAGAAAAAAA